CCATTGTGTATGATAGGGCTTTGGAAGGCAAAACAACGTCAATATGACGGTGAGTCAAAATTAGTGTCCCCCTGCATCACGCCCTTTTGTCAATTTTCTACATTCCAAAATGTCAGTTGACGTGAAAATGTGATTAAAAGTGTGTCTGATCTACAGAATTTGATTGACGTGGTCGTACACCGACAGTCAAGTTGGACAATGCAAGAGAGGCCACTAAAGTGAATGTCTGCGTTCAGGTGGTGGAGGAATGGAGGGTGATTGCAACAAAGTGAAGGAGACGCTTGTCACCCCAACCATGAAGGACAATTTCTCCACAACGTTAAACACCACAAGTAGAAGTTGGAGTGAACAAATTTGCGCGATGTGCGCCTACAAACCGGAGACACTGTCCACCTCGTGCACTTCACTCCACCTGCAAAGCCATCAAGACGCAGCATTTAGGCGAAAACTGCCTCCCCATCGAGTAAGTTGTGGACTTGGAGGAGGGGACACGAGTGAGGTTGAATCGCCAAAGCACACCACCACCACCGCCAACCTCACCTCGTGAGTGTTTCCCATAGACATGACGGCAGACACAATCCCTCCTCACGGTGCGTCGCCTCCACTATCCAAATTCCACCCACGTCCACACAACTCAACACGATGGTGTGCATTAACATCGACTGTGTCACAACCAGTTACAACTACATTGAAAGGGGTGAGAAGATGGTAGCACCCACCCTCACTCAACACAGTGCCCCACGCGACGTCCCACCTCCTCGCACCTCCTCACAACTTTACCACAATCACATCTGCGCTTCACCTTGGACAAGACCTGAGCACTATGCGAAGGCGGGAGGGAGGGAGAGATGGACAGTGAGGGAAGAGAAGGGAGATGGGGTGCCTGTAGCCCTCCCTGGTCCCACCGCATGTCTCCACCCCTCAACGCTCTCCCCACAATTCTTCAAATGGTGAACGTCATCGAGTGAAAATCATAAATTGTCCATTTGGAAAATGGACAACGCACATCGAGGTTGCTCTCGCTGTGGAGGCGAGGGGCTACGCAATGGGAGGATGAGGAATGACTCACACCAGGAATATGACATTTCAACAAACTTTAACATATTTCACAAGGTAACTTAAAATCTACTCGGCTTCCCCACGCACTCACCGGTGCAGGCGTCTTAAATGAAAAAAAATAATTGCCAGAAACTTGCTGAAAGCCTACTTCTGTGTACTACTGAAATGTCTTAGGTTGTCATGCAAAATCCTTCGCATCCGAAGGCATTAAGTACACAGCAATACAAAATTGAAGGGAAGACTACACAAAATGCCGCCTACTTCTCAAGGTCGCCTAAGCAGGTCATCATCAGATGATGGTGCCAGTGACACCCTTTCATGCAGGAGGAGATCAACATGAGTTCCAATGTCTTAAGATAAATTTCAAGGTTATATTTTAATCAGCCATCTCAAAAATCAACTTCATAAGGCCAAAATTGATGCTACAAAGATAATGTAACATTGCTGGCGTAAATCCAATTTGTTCCACTTCTGCAATAAATTATGAGTCATTATAGTTAAGTAAGAAAAGAGCTTATAGGTAATGTTCGTGTTTAAAGGTGTTGACGGTGGAAATTGAGGGGCTCGGAAAGATTATATGCAGGTGTAAGCGTGTCTTTTATCAGTTTTAACAAAGACGTCCGAGTATCACCAACACCCTATGAATTCAACGAAGTAGCCAATCACGTTTCGACAAGGTCGTTGTCACTTTATGCTATAACAGGTGACGGTAATGCGACTTTTATGCGTGTACGCTACTCATTTCAGCATCAAACAGTTTGGTTTTGTAAATCAAAAAAAGTAATTGAACACAGAGTGCTCTAAAAACAGTCGTTCAGCTTCGGAGAAGGAATATAGAAATACGGGTGGAATGAAACAAGAAAAAAACGCTTCTAACTAGCCACACACCATTTCGTATTGTACTTAAAATTTCTCGAAAAGGATAAGATGATGCAGAAAAAGAAATACTACACTACCCATAAAAGCGGATGAAAACAGTGGTAAAAATTGCGTCGACCAATCAGATTGCTAGAAGTTGTGACGTATAGCAATGAAAGGAGGTACCTTACGAATGGGTGCGTTGGACTGTTTTTGAACTAGTGTAGAGTCTCTGCGTGACCTCCTCCACCATCGTCTCGGTTTTGCAGTTAGATCGAGAAATAAATGACCCTTCTCCAGACAGAATGTGAGATCCAATATTTGTGGCGGATTGCGTATAGGCATTAATCCCGCACCCGGTCCCATAGTGATGACCCGGTTGCAGGCACGCACCCCTCCCCTTGAAGTGAGGTGACCGAGTAGAGCCTCTACGACCTCCCATGCTGTAGGTACGGGATAGAGAGTGGTTTCTTGAAGCATTTTCACTTGCACCGCCAACCAGCCGTCATAGAGACTGCTAAGGCTTTGCGGTTGCCCAGGCAGTGTATCACCACCAAAGCGGAGCGAGATAAGAAAAGCAGGATTATCAAACGAGGCATCACTGCAGTTACTGTCGGTATCCGCGTCATCCAAAGATTCTTCTTCAATGTCATCGGGATCGAAGAAGCTCACAGATCCCAAGCCGAGCCACAAACGCGCCTCAACTGTAGTGATGTCTAACAACAAAGTAGACGACATCCAATTTGGAGGTATGCTCATGGAAACAACAAAAAAATGCACCATGCAGATAATTATAGTCGAGCATAATAGAGTAACACATAGAAAATGATTCATTGTCAAGACGATAAATCCTTTTTTTATTATTCAAAACGACTGGGTCTAGTTGTCTCTTCATACTTATTGATAATGGCTTCATGCATCCACCCCTGAGGACTCCGAAGTTGGCATCTCAATGACCCATGCATGTGAGCCTATGTTTGCAGACGCGATTCCTCCTCACTTCCACACAACTCAACACGATGGTGTGCATTAACATGGACTGTGTCACAACCTGTTACAACTAACACTGAAGGGGTGAGATGGTAGCACCCACCCTCACTCAACACAGTGCCCCACGCGACGTCCCACCTCCTCGCGCCTCCTCACAACTTTACCACAATCACATCTGCGCTTCACCTTGGACAAGACCTGAGCACTATGCGAAGGCGGGAGGGAGGGAGGGAGGGCAAAGGGGAGAGATGGACAGAGTGAGGGAAGAGAGGGGAAATGGGGGTGCCTGTGACCCTCCCTCGCCCCTCTCTCCACAATTCTCCAAATGGTGAACGTCACTACATGACAATACTAAATTGTCCATTTAGAAAGTGGACAGCGCACGCCACAGTCCACCGGGGTTGCGCTCGTTGTGAAGGCGGGAGGCGGTGCAAATTGCAGGGGGATGGGAATGGATGCCTCAATTTAAAAAAAAATAACACGTTTTAGGGATTCACTTGTAATTAGGACTTTCAACAAGCTTGTTTATGTGTGCCTCCTATCCTCCTAATCCATATTATTCTATCCATATCAACGTTTTTTTTTTGTTTTTAAATCACAACATCCTTTCATCACTGTCTACTGACTCCTCTTGAGCGCACCCAATTCAAAATATTATAATCGTGGAGATCCGATGTCAAAACAAGTGACAAGTTGAAGGCTCCAGCAGTAGTGCGAGCATTTGTAGGCATTAAAAGCAATTTCAAGAGGATCCTGACGATGGCACAACTCACCTGCATCAATCGACAGATTGTTAAAATCCAACATGAGACGTTGCACCTTCCAGGGCGGGAAATTGACACCCTGTTCCTCATCCATAACCGTAACAGAGCGCTCCTCAATGTCCTCACTGTTAGCCACATCAATTCCCATCTCCTCGGGAACAATTTCATCGAATGAGTCAGTAAACACCTCATTCAATGCCTCATCATCGGAAAGAAGGAGCTCAAAGGAGTCGGAGTGTGCAATGGCGTTAGAATCGTCGAGAATGTAACCCTTTGAAGCAAAATAACCAACAATACTAAAGTAGTGGAAGTAATAGGAAGAGATAAAGCCTCCATTTTAGCTAAAAGCGCAAGCCATGCAACTGCCGAACATCCAATGATAAGGCAATAGGTCGAGGCAGTTATGCCGTACTAACATAAGCTCAGG